GCATCAGCCATCTTCATGAGAAACAAAACCAAGTAACAGTGCACAATGTGGGTTTGGTTATTCCGTTAATTTGTCTGCAATTGACCAATTTTCTGCCACTGAATAAGAAACATATAACTATTTTTAGGTCAAACACTAACAATTGAGGCTACCTTATATTATGGGTGGGAAGACAACAGATTAGTTTTTAAACAGAGAAAATAAGAAACTCATGTTTCAGTCACATTGTGACTCAAAGCCAAGAGAAGGCAAAAAATTCAAAGATGTTGGCTAACTCCCACAGAATGCTTGAAAAGCCAACTTTTAGCCCCAAGTGAATTTCTTCACCAAGTTATAAGTCCCTAAACTTGCCTTTTAAATGTTACTTGCTGACACAACTTTAATCACAATGCTGTAAAAGCTGGATATACACGATAATAATAATTTTAAACTAAATGTTTCCAGTGTACAGAACTTTTCAGAACTCCTGCAGATAGCTGAATCTGAAATAAAATATTTAGGGAAGGGCAATTTAACTTGGCTATGGTGAGTAAAGGTAGTATATGTAGCACTGGTTCTGTCTGAATACTGAAGAAAAAAACCCAAAGGTGAAAATACACAGAGTAAAAATTCAATTCCGATGAGATGAGAATAAATATTTGTCCATTTGCAATGCTGTTAGTTAAATGTTAGTGCTCAGAGCAAGGACCGTGTACCATGATTCGAGGTCTTTATCTCAGTCTCACACCGGTCTGTTCCCAGTGCTGGAAATTATTATAAAATGCTCTGAAACCCATGCTCGAAGGGTCCTATGTGCAAAGCATTACTGGGGTGGACTAACATTTTAAAAAAGCTTAAGAGATTTGTCCCAAACAAGGGGATTGTCAAGCCAGGATTTTCTTCTTATCTGGATAAGACTGAAAAAACCTGTGCTCTGTTACCTTGATACTCTCCCACTCTGGGATTTTCATGGTCATACAGCCAGTGAGAGACTTTGCACCCCAGAGCTGTTAGATTTCTGAGCAGTCTCAAAGCCCTGGGACTTCACTGGAGTCTTGATTCCCAAATATTTCTGAAAATGAGGCTTCTCTTTAATTGTCCTACAGCATTTCTCATGCCAGAAACATCTGGGAAAGGCGAGAGCTGACAAAAAAGCACCAACTTTTTCTTTTTTTTCACTCTCTTGCACATTGTTTGAAAAAGGTTTAAGGCTAAAATAAACTCCTCTGAAGCAACGTGCAGTTCACAGACAATGGCAGCAGCTGCAGATATCAGGAGTTCATTCCTGTTTATTATATTCATTAAAACTGAAGGGAGAACTGTGGCAGCACCAACTTAATGGTCATCTGAACATAATTATTAAGAAAGCATTGTTCTTTGGAAAGATGCAAAGTGTCAGACGGAACTTCACACCCTTGTCATAAACCCCCCCCTTATTTCCTACCATTAATTGGATTAAATGGGCATTGTAGGATCGGAGGTGGAGGGAAATGGGTTAATGAGCATATGTAGGAGGCAAATGACACTGGAAACTCAGTGTGTCTAGAGAGAGTGGGCAGAGGAAACAAAATCAGATGTGAGCAAATTTCTGGAAGGGAATCGGGCTGACAAAACTCATGAGACAGCACTTGGTGTTCTGATCATCCTTGAAAAGTACGAAAAGCAAAACTCTGGTCAGTTTACACATGTGTTTCGAACAACAAGTCCAGAGAGAAAAAAAACCCAACCATGAATCAAGGGACTGCATTGACAGCCACAAAGCAAACTCCTTTTGGAATCCAGCCACATCCTTGCATCCTACACCCTGTGCCATGCAGGCATTCCCATTGTGCCTTTTGGTGCCATGAAATTCCCTCTACTTGCTAAAAGCGGGGTAATTCTTCTTTGTAAGTCCCAGTGAGCCCCCTCACTGTCAATCTGTCTTTTCTTTAGTTGCCTTTCCATTTCCAAATTGATGTTCACTGCCTTGTACTGGTTGTCTGATGTTAAAGGTGGATGCAGTTCTCACTGCTCCCTGTAAGCAGGCTCGATGCCAAGAGCAGCACGTGGGTTGGACTCCACCCCCTCCTCACATAAGCAGTGGGTAGATTTGCTGTTCAGGTTCTTTTGGGTTGGTGTGCAAGCTCCAGTGGTTGCACCTGAAATCTGGGTGTCCCTCCATGGGCAGGTGTGGGTGGTAAATAATTTTTGCATCTATAGGCCACCTCTCAGCTTTTCCATCAGCCAATGCTCTGCAATGGACAGATCTATGGGGCAGCAGTGTGGGAACAGCATTACTCTGTACAGACCACCACATCCCATGATTCAGATCTGTATGTGAACCATGAAATCCATCCCATGGCCTCTCCTGCCCAACTACAGATATGCAGCACGATACATGACAGAGTGTTGTATGGGGCTACAAGCTCAACCAGGAATTCCACTCCTTTCTCAGCCAGAACCCCCACTGATTCCTATGAATGTTTTATGCTTCAGAGAAGGAACTATTGAGTTGTTCCTGGGCTGTAAAACTTATTTTCCTTAGCTGCTAAAAAAAAAATGACCTTCAGACTTGAGCTGGCCAACAACAACCCCCATTCCACAGCTATTCCCAATGTTCGCTGGTATATGACTGCAAAAGCAAATTATTGGACCCTTTGGAAAAATACATTCTACCTTTCAGCAGAAAGAACAGTGATTCTTTAACAAAATGTACTCCCTTTTGTTGAGGCTGATCTTCCTTTGTGCAAAGCTGTCTTTTCCTGTAAGTACCAGGGATTTTTTTGTGCAAGGATAATTGGTCTCACCTTTCACTCTTATATTAGCTGGTAATTTATTTATTTTTTTAATTTAAATTTGCTCCTGCTAGTCCTCACACACACCATTTTGTGCATCTAAGTCAAGGACATCCAAAACCCACTTCTTCAGCCTGGTCTCCCAGTGGAATGATGTTTATATGACTGTGCTGCCCATCTGTTTGTCCAATTGCCTTGTCATCCTTTCCAGGAGCTTTAGAGAACTTGGATAATTTCACCTTAATAGGAGGCTGGAGTCTCAGTGGTCACAGATGAAGCTCTAGGAGGGCTTCCAAGCCCCTCTGAATGACCATCGTGGCCCCTCCTGACAATGCATCTAGAGAAAACCTAGGCATGCATGACTCCCCACTCTGCTGCTGATCGCCTGGCACCATTGCAAGGGCCACAGGCTGTTCCCAAACAGGTCCCCCATCAGATGGCTGGAGAGGCAGGACTTCAGGTTGGCTCCTCAGGTGCCTTAGAAAATCTGATCAAACATAACTTTTGCATCTATGTTTGCTTTGGGTTTTTCTTGTCCGTCAGTTCAGACAAAATTCTGCTTGCCCCAGCAATACGAGGGAGGAGAATGCATTCCTCCACTCAGCCGGATTTGCAGGGAGCCTGGCCGTCATCACTACTTTTGGCCTTCTCACTGGATCTCAGGAAGTCGTTATATGTTATACAAGTAATTAACTGTGCTACAAATGCCGGGTGATCCCTAATTCCTTGCTGCCTTTGCTTACTGAGTTGGGTGTTGACAGTACTTGGAGCAAGAGACCCACACATAGAACGTAAAACTAAACCAAAAGCTCTGGTTAGGGTTCAGATTTTAGGAAATTATAGACTGCAGTCCAAAACTTTCTGCTTTGAGCTGCTCTGTAGTCTGTGTGTTTCACAGCACTGGGGAATTAGAGTTCTTTTACCATAATTCTTTCATACATGCAGAAGTGGGAAATTCACCTTTCAGTCCTTCTGAAAGCACCCTCTGTGCTCCACACACCAATTAGTGCTTCTGAGGACTGCTATAATGCTGGAAAACTGCCAGTCAGACTCAGAGAAGGGTATCATCTGTAAAACAATCTCAAAGTGACCAAAGCTTGCTGAAGTAGATATGTACCTGTCTTCCCAGTCAAATGCCCTTCTCAGTTTGTGTGTTATGGTCTCCATCAAAACTAATACAATTTTTCAGTGGCATCCAAAAATTTTTCAATGACACTGTGAAAAGCAAAAATTTATCATGTTTATTTTACACCATTTAAACCATCTCGCTCACAAGCTAAGTAAATTGTGTGCAGAGCTGAATGGGTGCCAAAAGAAGTGAGTTCAAAAAGCAAAGGGACAAGTTCAGAGGGGACTGACTTGGTGGTGCCCACAGCTGGTCTCACTATGTTGGCGACTCCTGCAAACTGGCAACGTTCACCAAAGTAATGATCATCTAATCTTCTGCGCTCTGGTCTAAATATTCTCTCCTGGTCATTACTAGGCATAGGGACCAGGTTAGGTAGACCTTTTGCTTGCTGCCTCCAGGGGTATCCCTGTGTGCAGTAAAGTAAATCCTGCCGGAGGCTGTCAGAGTCAAATGAGTTCATGACTTCTTAAAAGAAAAAACATCAAAGAAAAATCTGGAATTAGGGCTTACTTTCCACAAAGGTAGTGAGGGGAAATGTTCTTCAAACTATCATCTGAATTCCCTCCAGTAAAAATGGAAGTATTTTAATTTTTTTAATTTATTTTATTTATATTTTTTTTTATTTTACCTGCAAGTCATAGCCAAGAGGCCTCTGGGTACTTAAAAAAATATTTAAAATTTTAATAATGTATTAATAAACTGAGTAGAGGAGATACAAATTTCTTCAGTAACTCATACATTCCTTCTATTGACTTAAGTAAAAAGGGACTACATTTTAGAGAATACTTTCAAGAAAAATGTTATTTCATTCTCTTTTCCAAAAGGGAATATGTGGGTTATTGGGCATTTTTGTTCCTTTATCATTCATTTTATTCAGATAGTGCTGCTAGTTTAATACAATATAAATACAGTGTATTTTTATTTAAAAATAAACCTGTTTACGTGACATTTAAAATCTTGACATCTTTTATGTGACAATTAAGCCATCTATTTCTGTAATTTAAATTAACCACAAATAGCTTTCAGGCAGTGCAAGCTGTTACTGAAGTTTTAAGAAAGCAAAACAACAGCCTTCGGGGAAGTCACTTGCTGAGCACCTGGAACAAGAATTTGCTGAAGTGATAAACCAGTGCTTGACAGCTGCAACTTGTTCTGCAGGTGCAGAAAGCACTTCTTCCTCTCAGTTCCTCCAGCTTAGTTCAGTTCAGTAGTTACTTCACTCAATGCTAAGAAACCACTTGAGAAATAAAAAAAAAAAAAAGTAAACCAATTTTCTCTCTCTAGTCAAGGAATAAAAACTACATACAAGATATTTTCACCCACGAGTTCGAGTTTGAAACTGAAAGACAAGATGGCCTGAAATAATCTGTCCAATCCATCCCTAAAGATACACTTTCTATCATTTAATACATTAGGTAGGTTTTAAAAAATGGATTATTTTTACATACTTATTCTTGAATTATCTATCATATTCCCTTAATAACAGGCAACTTATCATGGCATTCTAAATGAATTTTTGTATTCTGACTCTGTGTATGTGCCATTTGATAAAATAACCAGAAAAATGTCCATAATAAAAATGGCTTTATTTCATAGTGTTATCTCTTACAGATAACATTAAAATTTGAATATACATGTGGTAAAGTATGCTATGGCTTTAATGTACATGTATTAAATACCCTCTAAATTGTTAAACCGCCCCCAATTTTAGTGTAAAATACATTATTAGATGCATATCAATGTATTTTAATTGTTATGAAACAATGACTTAAACTTTCCATTTGGAAAATGTGTAAATTATACAAAGTAAATCAAGACCTGAAAAAGATTATCTAAACTGAAGGGGTTTACTTGCTGATTTAAATCACAATTGAGACCAGTACTTTAACTCATTCTGTCTTACATACATACATTAATATTGGTAAATCTTCAGCTTATAAAAGACACCGAATTTCCAACAAATAAAAAAGACAAAATTTATAAAAAAACCTTACCAAGATGAGCTCAAATTTGTTGTGTCTTTCTTTCTACCGCTGGCTATGAAAGAAATCCTTGAAGGAATGAATTTATGTTAATAGTGGAAAATATATGAAGAATAATAATTATGCAGTTGATTCTATATTAAAGATTTAAAAACGAAAATGCAGAAAAAAGGAAAATAATGTTTTCAAATGTATTTGGGGAATGTGGAGATGCTGGCCTAAGGGACAAAAAGCTCTACATAGACTTTGCTTCTGCTGCATGATATTGAGATTCCTCAGATCACAGAGGAAGAAGAAAAGGTGAGGATTTAAAAAACTATTTCCCCACCGCAAAACTTTATTATCTAGAAATGTGTGCATGAGAATTTAAAGCTGCTACATCTTTTCCTTTCACTGTTTCATAAATCACTTGCTTCTGATCTCACAAATACTTCTTGCTTCCTTACAACTTGCAGCACTTTTTTTTTAACTGCAGCTGCAAAAGCTATAACTCCAAAGTCATTGAGGCACTGCCCTTTGAGGGGCGAGGGGGAGAAGGGAGGGGGATCCATTTGCTTTGAAGCCCTGTGCTCCAGAGGATGTCATCCTGGTTTCCCGTTGGCCTATCTCTTAAGCCTGTTAAAGGGTACTAAAAGAACTGTCAAAACTTCCAGTGCAGTGCAGCAGCACTTACTCCAAATCCCATGAATGTAGCTGGTTTGGTGTGATAAAACAAGCTAGAAACAAAAATGCTCTTAGTTAAATTGAGCTGAGGTTGATGATGCTTCACATTGGCCCCTTTCCAGGACATAACCATACCACCCTTTCCTGCAAGCACTGGTGATTATAAAGATGACTCTTGAATCACCTAGTTTGATCTTCCCGTTCATCATTGCCCAGATCCTCCTACACTGACCCCAAAGATTTCAGTTCATTTGTGTCCTCAGGAGAGATCAGCAGGTGCCCCAGGTGGAGGAGAGAAGAAAGTCAGATGCTGCTGCTGCTGAGTCCCGAAATGACACCTTCCCTCACCTCAGACTTGAGCATCAAGTGTTGCAAGTATTACACAGCATTACTTTCATCCATCTCCTCATCTCTGCTATGATGTCACATACGCTTTATGGTCACCAGTTTGCAAGGTAGTCCCTATAGCACTCATGAATGCACCCATCAAGCAGACAGGAAAAACTCAGGGTTAGAAATGAAATGTCATCAGGAACAAGCAGTGCCTAGCAGTATGATAGGGAAATCCATCACAAGGGAAAAGATATCCACTGCATAGGTAAAAAGTGGGAAAATATTCTCTTTTCCAAACACAGTCCTCAGAATTGCCCATCAGGAATGTGGGAGAGAAAACACAAGGGCAACTACAAGCATCCATAAGGTAAAGAATGAAGTCCCCAAAGTCAGAAAGATATAGAGAAAACCAAAGACCAAAGGTAGCTGCAGCACAACCAATTTGGGATGTTTTTACTGGTCCCCTGGGATTTATTTGCACAAAGATCAACTTTCAGTCATATTTTGCCTCCTTTTTCTGCTCAAAACATATAGCTACAATGTCATGCAGAAATCAAATGCTTCGTGGCATACTTTTAAATGTAACATTCAACTCTGGTTTACAGAGTCAGGATTTAGTAGGTTTCCTTTGCTCCTCACACCTACCTATGGCACTTCCACATGAGATAACAGCAGACTGTGCTAACAAGAGCCTGATTTAAAGGTAAGGTGAAGATGCAGCACTGCCTATGTTACAGCAACCAGTGCAGCACGATGAGGAGTTCACAGCATTTTTGGAATTTAAAGCCTCAGTTTCTCATGGAATCAGCCTGAGGACTGGAGCAAAATGCTATGGGCTTTTGGATTAAACCCCAACTGCTGAAAACACCAGCATCCAGCCTCACTTAGGAGCGTTCAGCAGAGCAGCATGCAGGTCCTCTGGAAGGCATGGGATCTCCACCGCTCTCCTCTAGTATCACGTAGACTGGTTTCAGCCCCCATTAAAAAAACTAAATGCTATTATAGGTTCTCCATAGCATAGTGCCATGTTCCTCCTCCTGTTAAATGACATTTTAGGCAATAAACATGTGGTGCTCACTAGGCTAAAGCCAATCAGTAAACTTCCACCTAGATCAGCAGGCAGCAAGGTGTGCTTAGGGATGTGGCAGGCCACACCTCAGCACAGTGAGTTTGGGTCATAAAGTGAAATCAAATTAGCTAATTAAGGAGGTGCTTGGTTTCATTTCATGGAAATTTAGTAGGCACCTCAGCTTCCTGTAAAGCTGGAAATACGTTCATAAAAGTGACAGTGCTGATACCCCTACATTAGGTAGTGTACTGGCCATAAAACAAAGGAATCCATGCATCCTCCACCCTTTTTTAGGGGAAGCAGAAATATTTTAAAAGTGTAATTAGAGTTGTGGGGAGGGAAGAAGGGTGGTTTTACCACTGATGTCACTGACAGTGTAAGCCTTTTATGGTTGTGACTTAATAGTTGTCTCTCTGCTTCAAAATCAACAAAGAGCAGAGAAAAAAGGCTCACTTCCTCCTTGGGAAATGGTGCATGTTCAGGGAGGAAGCTGCCTTCCTGTTTTCTCCATAATTGCAGCTTTGCATGGTTTTAGCAAGTTCCACAATTTTAAGCCTCTTCCATATGGAACATGTTCCTCTAAACATCTGGCTCCTTTTTTATTGCATTGATAAAACAGATTTATTTTCTACAAACCATATAAAATATTACTTTCTCAGTGTACAGTCTACTGTACCTTTAAAAATAAAAAATATACAAAGAGATCAATAGTCTGTCATTTTTTTTCTTCTACTAGTAACAAAATCCTTTTCTAAAGAAGACTTAAGGAATAATTCTGAATCTGGAAAGGAAGAAAGTTTGGACATCTACATTTATTATCTCCATGTTTCTTGGTGCAGACCAATGATATAAACCCAAATCAGAAAAGAACTACAAATCCAGACAAAGTGCATTTCTTAGATCCAGGACAGATTTGAATGTGTATCTCTCACACTGGTTCTTAGCCTATATGCATCATCTTGTAACTATCACTGGGAGAGAAGGAAATGCTTTGATTAGTTTAGAAGTCATCTTTCTAATTTGCCTGAATGATATTAGAAAAGAATGGATTATGCCAAGAAATTCAGAGGGATGTACAGTAATGAAGAGAAGAACATTCTTTGATTATCTAATGGCAGTTAGGCTGCAATGTTAAATTTCAGTGGGTAAGGCACTCAAGCAATAAACCAGGAAAAAAGCCATTATAAATCAACAGATCATCTCAGCTTCCCCTTCCATTAGCTGTTATTTTTAGCTGTACTGCATGCATGGCTAAGCAATAATGCTGCAGAGTGCTCCTCCAAAAGTTTTAATCTTTTTCTCTCTTCACTATTTCACCTGCTGTTGCCTGAAACAACACAAGCGTTCACTGCATGCAACAAGCCTAAAAAATGAGCTATAAACAATATTGTGAAAGATCTGGCCAGCACTTGCTACAGGGATGTAGTCCAACAGTGGCTTCTTCGGAGAACTGGCAAAAAAAAAAAAAAAAAGGAGTAATTTTCTAGATGCTTTGACAAATCCTGAATTAAGCAAAGTCTGGCTTCATGCATAAAAAACGGTGATGCTTTATACCTCAGCTTGCAGCTTGATACCATTGATACCATTTCCAGACTTACACTGCCCATGAAGCCCATCTGCCCCTCTGGGAAGTGACCAACAAGGGGAAAAGGGACTAGGGTTGGGTCATTTATTTGGGAGAAGAACAGGGATAAGAAATAGTGATGAAAAGGAGGGTCAAGAAATGGGAAAAGGCTTCATAAGGCATGCAAGCTGTGTGAGCAATGCTGTCTGGAGTAGGCTGTGGTGCATCCCTGTGCTGACCACCATATGCTACATCAGGACAGTAAACCCAACCAACTGTCCTCACTATACCACACATGCCAGACCTGCTCCTCCAGTCAGCAGAACCAGGGCTGGGGTAGCCCTCACTAGCAGGATAATACCGGGATGAGATAGCATCCCAGTACTATCCTGTCAGTGCCCTTTCCAGATCCTTCTGCACTGGCATCCACCATCTCCTAACAGAAAGTTTGCTTCAAAATGTAAGGACAGAGAATACAGCTCTTCATTTAAATGAATGCTGCATCCTTGAATATGCAAGAGTTAAATCTGAATCTCATGAGTCTACAGTCAAAACCAAATCTGGGTCACCCAGGCTAGAGACTGACTGGAAGCTGAAGTGAAATCAATTGCTCTGTGTCCTTGCTCAGCCTGAGAGAGGAGTAGATGTAACCCTAAACCAGCCCAGGAAGGGCTAAATCTCATGAAAGAGGCAGAGGTCCCATCACTGTGATGGCACCAAGGGTCTGCCTTCCCATCAGGTGAGAGACTGTGCATTTTTAGGGCCTGACGGTGGCACAGCCACAGATCATCTGTGCTCCTCAGGTCTCACTGCCCTACTGAAGGGAGAAGACAGGGTAGAGACTTGGTTTTGCTCCTCCACCATCACATGCCAGAGAGGATCCCTGATGACAGATACAGACCTGCAGATGCTTATGTCCTGCCTAGAGGGGTCACAGTCTCCCTCCTGTATTGCCAACCAATAATTAACTCCCAATAACTCAATGTAAGGAGGTTTTCTTGCAAATATCTGCTATTTTTTTGGTGCCTAACAGTGCCTGTGTAATGCTGCAGGATAATGTGAAAAGTAATTCATTTGAAGTAAATAACATCCTTTTCTCCTTAAATGGCCTTTGCTACCTTCTCTACATAACTAGTTTCATTGCAAAATTAATACACATATTGCATGAAAGACTTATTAAAAACTATTAGATGCTCTCTTACTAAACACACTCCTTTTTAAAACTACCTCAAATTTACTTAATTTCAGAGTATGGACCAGGAAGCTGCTAGTCGAAAACTACCAGACATGGAGAGACCTCATTACAAAGTTTACACCTATATTTGTCATAATCACTTTAGATATCAATGCTACTTCTTCTAATGTCCACCACACCTTCTGATAAAGGTAAATGCATATACCCAGATAAAAACACTCTTACACCTTAATGGTTTGGAATCAACAATAGTTACAGCCTTGCTTCCAAGTGATATAAGTAAATGAGTACAACCACTCAAAAAACTGCTCTCTGAAATGTAATATCCAATAATTTCTTTTAATCTGGTCCCAAGCCACCAAAGAAAACTGAAACACAGTAAGTAGCATAGGACACATTGCCTTCACAGTATTATGAATCTTGTTGTTGAAGATTTGCAGGAACAAGCTATACAAGTATTTGATTCAGAAGCTGATGACTGTGCCTTGAGGTAAGATGTCAGAGGTTGGAGCCAGGCCTCCTCTTGAGGTCCTTTTTAACCCCATCTTTTATTATTCTAGGTGAACAGCTCTATTAGGTTGATAAAACCCACATGCCACGACTAAAACTAAGTATATGCTTAAGCGTTTTGCCAGAGTGATGCACAAGTGCAAAGCAGATCCAGTATCTCTCATGGCTTTAAGATATATACTCTGTTTTTGTAATTCTCATTCAAACTCTCCCTCAGCAGTAAGAGAGCACAAGCTCGAACAAGCATGGCTGTTGGGAGAGCAGTTTCCTTGTGCCTGCTATCCCCCACTGGAGAGGCAGTGGGCAGAGGGAGATTTACACCTGTTGTACAGGACACATAGCTTTCTCCCAAAGTGCATTGGAAACCTTCACTGTGATCAGAAAGAAATCACCCAGGTTAAAGAGGTTTGGGTTTAAGCTGTACAGTTTTAACCATCAGGTGCACTGGAGAGGTTGCATCCAAGTTCCTGACCCTTTCTCAAAGGCAGATGTACACGCTTCACTTAAATAACAAGAAATACAGATTTAACTCCTGAACTTCCCCTTCTCTATCTAGGGCATTTCCTGAAGTCATAC